AGCCTGTCCATACCTATGAATACAAGATGTTCATAAAAGCGGCAGTGGTATGGATGGTCAATACCACATTGCTCATCCTGCTACTCTGTTCATTAAAATGGCTGTACCACTGGGCAAATCATAAATGCATGGCCAGAGTGGAAAAGGCAACAGAAGTGGTGGGGGGGATTATTAGAACTAATGCAAAAATGGTTTTTAAACTCACTCTGTCCTTGTATTAACTAAGTCCTTAAAACAGTCACATAACAAGAATCAAAATCTGATGGCCAATGCAAATCTGTTGCTGGCTTGGGGACTAGAAGGAGGTGGTCAACTAGCTACTATCAAGTAGCCATCTGTACAATAAATGAAAAGATTTGCTTTACACTATACTAAACAGAGGCATTTTAATTTACTTTATTCAAGTAAGTGATCCTATAGTGTTTTTTTTGTTTTTTTTTTAAGGGAGAGTCTACAAGAGCCCATTTTTGGTGGGATTAAAGTGGCAATTCATTATAAATTCTTGGGACAGAAATAGCAAACAGTAGACAACAGAATATATAGTAATCACAATTCTGGCTTATATAGGACAATTTTAAAATTGTATTTTTAAAGATAACCCATTTCATAGGGAGTGCCCCCTTGACCTCTACTTAAGTAACATTTTAAACAGCTGTTTTCCCCCCACTGTCAGTATTTATTCAAATAATCAGTTCATTCCCTTTCCTTCTAACAGTCACTGAAATATTTATCCATTTAAATAAGAATAGGATTTAAGGCTTTAAACAATTTGGGCATGCAAAGTCATAGCTCTTGTATGAGTAGAAATTTCATCTGAACTCCCTTTTGGAGCAAGCATTTCAGATTGCAGAGAATACTAACATTTTGTCTCCTTTGACCAAAAATATTCTTCTGGAACACTGGATACAAGTATTGGATCTCCTGTTAGTTAAAACTATTCTTGGCAAAACTGTAATTTTACCACTGTTGGTCAACTCATTTAAAGTTGTTTATATTATTAATAACTTGAAGGAAATCTCTAAAGAGCTGAATGTGATATTTAAAATGTAAAAGGCTGATCCTTGATAGAAAAGCTAAGCTTTCTTGTGTAGCATTTTGCTGACTGCTTTAACAGCAAAACAAAAAATAAACTCCTCTACTTTAATTTAGAAAATAACATTTAATGCATATGGGCACTCTATCAAAACCTAATTTATACTAAATAAAATGCAGTCAAACTTTGAGTCACGACAGGCTTTTTGTTGTTTATATAAACACAGCTGGCAACCTAGGGGATTCGAACTTTCTAGATAGGTAGAACTAATGTTGCGCTAGCCTGAGTTTCAGTGGATTCAACTTTGCAGCAGAGATACCTCTTTTCCTTTAACAAAGCACAAAAAACAAAAACGATAAACAAAAAACATTACACAATTTCTTTTTTCTTGAAAGAAGATGGCTTCATTCATGTGATCAATGAAAGGAAAAGGGAATAAAGTGCTTCTTTAAAGTGATCATCAAAATAAATATAAACATTCAATTCCAGGAAAGAAAGGGTTTGAAGAGTTATCTCCAGCCAGTTCTGTTCTTAGGTGCATTATTTTCCCCCATAACCTTTTCAAAAGAAATTTGCACACCAGTTGATAATTCCTACGGAAAGTGGCTTTACCAGCAGAGTTGAATTCCCCCATGTATCCATCTGTTCCATTAATGGTCTGCAAACCTGTGCAAAACACCCCACCCAAAGTGCTCCTTCTCCCCAAAAAAATAAAAATAATAATTAAAAAAAAATCTGCCCCATTACATAGATTTCACCCCATTGGCGGTGGTATTCTCGGATACCCCATCGACCACAGCTGATGAATCATGGAGGCCGGAGTAATCCTTGAGTTCAGAGTTTGTCAGAAGCAGGGGCTGCTCCCCTTTCTTGTGTGGCAGGAGGGGCTTTCTGGTGTAGTGTTCGCCATCTGGAATGTTCTCAGGCAGGTTTTGGTTCTTGCTTTCCGGCAAGAGAAGAATACAGATGATGCAAATGAGCGTACAGCAGGCGAAGATCACGTGGTGCAGAAAGTAGCCTTTCTGGTTATGGAGCTCCATTATAGGTGCAGTCAGCATACCAAAGCCTGCGCTGGCCAGGACAAGTCCTAGTCCACCTCCCCTAAAAGACAAACAGCCTCAACACAGACAGAACATAGCAGACGTGTATTTGGAAAAAAACCCAACAACCCAAAACATCAAAACTTCAGTGAACAATTGAAAACTCTTCTTCTGGTTTACTTTCTGGAATCAAAGTTACTCCACAGACAGCAGTGTTATTTAATATAAGGACATTACCCCCAAGCAATGGCTGCAGAGGTCAGCAAAGCTAAATCTCAAAACACAGGGACTGTGCCTAGCCACCTGACCCATTCCAAACTGAAGTGTCCTGTTTGAAATTCAGATGGTTCAGCACAGAGCTGTTATAAACTATCTTACTTGCCATGCTCTCCATGTACCTGAGCTGCAATTCCCAGCTGATGGTCCAGCACAGTCATGTCAAACATGCCGCCCAATGGAATTTTTTTGTGGCCCACAACTACATCTTCATAAATTATCTAAGTGCAGCCCGTCCAGTTACATTGTTTATAACGCGATGTATTTCACACCCATGTTCCCTTTAATTTTTTTCCATCCATGTGCAGAATATATTGTCTTACGTATGGCATGTGCACCACCAACAGAAACACATACTGGCTGTGGGCACTCGGGGTGCACTGCTAATCAGCTGGGTGGCATTTGAATCTTTCTGGGTCACTGCCCAAATGCTGAGCTTACAGGGAGCATTGTTTCACACCCATGTAAAGTACCAGGAGCATTGTTATGTGCAGTCACAATGGGCATCTCTGTGGTTTTCTAACTGGTTTTAAGTTGATTAGCGCTATCAAGTAGGCTAGCTTAGATGATTTAAGGTTGTCAAATCTGCTTTTACAGACCTAGAATCCAATGTGATCTTGACAGCATTTCACTAAAAGTGGGCCAGGCCAGTTTATACAGTCTACACCAGTGGTTGGCAACCTACAGCATGCGAGCCAATTTTCATTCGCATGTGTGGCGGGAGCTCAGCCCTGCCCCTCTTCCCTTGTGCGGTCACTGGTGCCCTCCCTCTTCCCTGGCAGCAGGTTAGGTTGCGGTGGGAGGAGGCAGCGCTGGGACTGAGGCTCCTCAACAGTGCCTCTGGAGCCAGCCCGAGACTGCATAGCCGCAGTAGCGGTGCCTCAGGGACTGTGTGGCTGCAGTAGTGGCATCTCCAGGGCCAGCCCAGGACTGCATGGCTGCGGCAGTTGCTGCAAGGGGGCATGAAGCCAAGTAAGTGTTCCCCTTCATGCCCAGACCCCCAAACTCCCTCATTTACTCCCCTCCCAGCCAAGACCTCGCTCTCCCAGCTTGCTCTGACACCCTTCTTTGTTCCTGCACCCTCTCTCCTGGCTAGACACCTAACCTTCATCCTGATCCTGCATCCACTTTTGCTCCTGCTCCCTCCATCTCCTGGTGAGGATGCGCATTACTGACCCAGTGGAGGTGTAGTGTGGGCATGCACTGCTGGCTGTAAGTTGATATAATACAAATCAACATAAATTTTTTGGGGTAGACATGCCCTTAGATTGCACATACAAAACGCACCCCATTTAGGTTGCAAAGTCAAACCCTCAAAAGTTAGGAAATATCAGAATTAATACTGCCGGGGCAACCTTAATTCAGTCCCCTTGTGTGTAAACATTGATACAGTCCATTCAACAGCACCAACTTTAAAAAGTGATGGGGGTGGTGAGTGGGGCATGTGTGCTCCACCTCCCCCACCCCTTCAACCAAAGCCCCACCCTGCCTTGCCTTCCTATCCCTACTCCACACCCTACCTCTTCCTGCCCAGTTCTACCCCCTCCTCCAAGCCCTACTGTACAGCTGACTGTGGCAGGCAGGAGGGGCAGGTAGGGAAGGGGAAGGTGCTCATCCACAGAGCCCACCAGCTGGCGGGAGCTGATGGAGGGCTGCCAGTGGGTATTCAGCTCCCATCAATTCCCCCACCCCTGGAGCACCCACAGTTCAGAGCCTATGCAGTCACCAATCACGTAATCACATTTTGTTGTTTTCACAGGGCCCCTGCCTCATTCGGCGCACAGAACGATGGTGCTCACCGAATGAGCAACTCTTCAAAATGTTGTTCTCTCTTTACTGTTTAGTGCATGGGCCGACGATGGTGCTCACCGAATGAGCAACTCTTCAAAATGTTCTCTCTCTACTGTTTAGTGCATGGGCCACTCCTCACCAGTCAAACCAAGCTTTGCAGACAGTTTTAAATTTCTTCACTGTCTTTTCTTTGGTGCTCATCACAGCAGTATGTGAGGGCTCCATAAACATTAAACTTGGTGAAAGTAAATCACAGCACCCTTGTGAGGGGAGGACTGGCAGGGTCAGTATCCTTCTATAGCGATGGAGAATTAGGGCAGAGACACAGGCATTGACTTTCCAATGTGCTGTTATGGTGCTGGGCCTACAGATGTGCTCCAGGCCTTGCCCCAACTCCACCCCTTCTCTCAAGGTCCCAGTTCCGCCCCATCCCTGCTGCTTCTCCCCTCCACTCCATGCTGCCGAGCCCCCTGCATGCTGCGAGACAGCTCTTCAAAAGGTGGTAGACCCAGAGAGGGAAGGGAGGCGCTGACCCTTACATAGCACTTCATATCTTCAGAGTACAGCTCTCATGCTCAGCACTTCTGCAACCCAGAACTAACCCCTTAGGGCCATTTGAAAATTCCAGCCTTACAGCCTCTGCAGACAGGCTGTTCCACATGCAGATAGAGAAAAGTTGCTGGAAGTAACCTAATAGCAGCTATGACCCAGCAATTGGTTCCTAGGACTGGTTTCACCTTACTGACTAGATCAGAGTCCTCAATGCAGCAACACTTTATGTTCTCCCTCAGGCTGCTGGATTGGGCTTATCCATTCCCTACCCTGTGCCTCAGTAGCAGGTTTCCCAGTAGCTCTCATTTACTTTTGTACTTTTCTCTGCTGTGCTCCTTCGCCCTCTCTCCCAGCACAGACTTCTCAGTCACCTGTCTGTCTGCAGGACTCCACTACTGCAGCAGGGTGTTTTCAGGACACGTATCACTGTGGTACTCTTTCAAGGCCTGATACCAGCATGCTGCCTCATTAAATTTACATTCTGCTTCTTTGGTACACAGACAGTATTACTTTCTTGTGGGTCAACATTCTGCAGTTCCCCCAATTTCCAACCCTTTCCACAAAACCGAAACTTCAAATTCATTGCTAAGCTTTTTATTACCCACATATAAGTTACAGCATGATATAAATCAAACCCATGCTATAAATCTCAGACTTCTGGATTTTCTCTGACCACCAGCCATCTTGCTCAAAAGTTAATCCCCATATCCAGGATCTTTTCAGTATCCATGGATTTACAACTTGGCTGCTTAAGTGCAGCAAGTGTAGGACACCAAAAATATGCTACTCCAATCAGCAGAGCAAAAGCAAAAGCAGGAGGGCTAGCTCAGTAGTTTGAGCATTGCCTACTAAACCCAGAGTTGGGAGCTCAATCCTTGAGGGAGCCATTTAGTGATCAGGGAGTTGGGAGCTCAATCCTTGAGGGGGCCATTTAGTGATCAGGGCAAATCTGCTAGGGATGGTCATGAGGGCAGGGGACTGGACTTGATGACCTCTCAAGGTCTCTTCCAGTTCTATGAGATCAGTATCTCTCTCTAATTTATTATTATCCCTCAGTGCAATGTTTATTTAGCTTTTTTTCTCCAGAGGCAAGAATGGTTTAAGTTTTACAGAATAAATTGAATTTTTGCAAGGCCTACTGGATTTTGTGATGTAAGTAGACATTTCGAGTTCTCACATTAAGCTTTAAACTTTTCACTGAAAAATTAAAACCTACCAAAATCTACTGTTTCTTCAATTAAATACTCTGCAACATTTAAGTAACTTTATGAATTTATACGCGCAGGGGTATTCCCACAGAACCACCATGCGACACCCTGTTTGAAAAACCATGTCTATTCAGTATTGTACCTCAAAGACTTGGAAAAAAAAAGTTGACTTGGATTTTAAAAGCATTTAAATGAATAATTGAAATTCATCCTGAGTGCAGCGCGTTGCTGTTGTTCACTTTGCTTTCTCTTGCATGGTATAACGATGGGCAGAACTCAGAACTTTTCTGAGGTGCTTGATTTCTAGATTTTGTTCTTGCTCATTCACGTTTTCTAAGATTTCATAGTGCAGTTTGTTTCAACTTGCTCTAAGACACTGAATATTAACTGACTACAGCTTAGTGTTTCCAGCTGTGGTTTGGGCATCTGAAATGGACACGTTGGACAAACCAAACCTCTTCCTCATTTTGCCCCCCTCCTGTCTCCCCTATTTATTTTGGTCCTAGACATCCAATATTCCAGTCATTTGAAGAAGTGGGCTGTGCCCACGAAAGCTCATGATACCACCTACATGTTTTGTTAGTCTATAAAGTGCCACCAGACTATTTGTTGTTTTTTCAGTTCATAAGAAAGTAGCCACTGTATTTGACTTCTGCCATTCTCTGCGTTACCACTAGAGAGTAGGCTTTGCTTACACGTATGTAGTAACAGTGAGAACAGTACAAGATGGCCATTTATAACTGCTCTTGTAATCATCAATGGTGCAAATGTTGAAAGAGCCTGGTTCAAAATTTGTAGTCTAAGTTTCCCTCATCATAAATTAGAATTTTTCCTGGTCTAACTAGAATTTTAAACATCATCGGAACACTTTACTTTCAATTATTGAAAATATTATTTATTTACATTGTAATTGTGCCTTAGAGCCCCAATCTTACTCCACTGTGTGAAGTGCTGTAATTTAGCATCTGGATTTGATTATTTGGTTTAAAGTTAACCTCAGCAACCTCCTCTCAACTTCAATGAGTATTTATTCTAGTTAGTGGCCAGTGGCTGATGGCTAAAAATCCCCACTGTTCCTCCCACATACTGTCTTTCTTCATTGCTGCTATCAGTAGAGTGGAAAACGCGAACTACCAGAAATAAGCAATGCCAAGGCCACGCAATACGTAGTTACTATTTATTCCCTGGGGCATAACAAGTACTGTTCTCCATCTTTTAGAGCGGAAGAAGGGAGAAAAACAGAATAGTCCTCCCAGTTAACACCGGTCTAAAGCCTTGCACTGTTTGGTAAGTAGCACAGCCCCCAGTGGCACTCTGATCGTGCTTGTTGGAGGCTTATCAGCTTCATTTGGTGCTTTAATTCAGTGTTTGAAAGGAGCTTTTTAATGAACTCCTTGGCACAAAGAATTTGAATTCTTTAACGATGCTTTAGTGCTTAGCACTGCGAAATCAGGGCTGACCAGCATTAACATATCAGTGTAATAAGGATCCCAACAATAAATATTTGTGCTGTTTCTGGGAGCTTTTATGTCTCTGCAACATACATTGTAGATTCTATCAGGAAAATAAATTGGAAACTGATGTTGGGGCTGCTCAAAAACAAACTTTTGCATATTGAAAACAAGTCTAGAAGTGTTGGCAAATGCTATTGATTGTCATGGTAGCAATCAAACAATAGCCAATCTACTCGTGTAAGCACCTTAATATTGAGACTGTTTTTCCTCACAAGAAAAATATGAATAAAGAATTAGTCTGAAAAACCTAGTGACTCCCCCAATTCCCTTACTCTGGCCTCCCCCAAGACTTTGACTGGAACATCAACTGAGAAAATTGGTCATGTCCTGACAATAAAATGCTCTGCCAAATTGCAATGCACAATGAGTGGTATTTCATAGAGACAACTGCCCTATAACGGGTGTGAAGGAGAAGTGGCTGGATGCCCATTTCAAGATACCAGAGCAAAGGCACGTCATCAGCTTAGCAATGCCACTTCCATCTGAAATGCATTAAAAACAGAACATACTGGCTCACAGCAAGAGAGTCCATCTAGGATCCCATCCTCTAACTGTGGCCAGTGCCAGATGCATCAGAAGGAATGGACACAGGGCAATTATCAAGTGTTGTCCAGTGTCAACTTCTGGCAGTGATACCCAGGAGGTAGGAGTGGACTGGGAATGGGGGTGTGGAGTCTGGGGGGAGAGGTAGGGTGCAGGAATTGGGACACTTGTCTGGGGCAGCTCCTGCTTGGTGGGAGAACAGGTCACCAACCAAGTGTTCGTAGGCTCACCCCCCACCCTTCCCACTACTCTCACTGGTTGTGATTCTTGGCCAATGGGAGCAGTGGGAGAAAAACTGCAGGTATGGATGGTGAGCGAACCTAGGACTGATGGAGGCAACCGCTAGCCCCACCTCTTCCACTCAAAACTCCACCCCTGCTGTCCATGGTCCTAGTAGGAGCATCCCACAGCTCCTCTGGAGCCCAGGGAGGACTGGCAGAACATGGTTCTAACCTCAGTGGGACTGAAGTCTAGACAGCACCAGCAGACTAGGGGAGCTGCACAGAATGGGCTGGAGGCAGACAGTGGGCGGGGCTGGGTTGACAGTTTGGGAAGGCATTGCCTTCCTTTGCCTCTTATCCCTGGCTGCCTACACCTGCAGGCAAGCTCAGGGACAGAGAGCTTACCTGTGCTATTGGCAATGCATGGGGCTCCAGCCTGAGGTGGGGGGGGGGGGGGGGGGAGGGGGGTGCGGGCTGCGCCGTGTGCGGGGGGGGGGGGGGGGGGGGGGGGAGAAGAGAGGAACAGCAACATATGAATCAGTGTTTTCCTGCCACCGCCAGGCAGAGGCAGCCCAGAACACAGCATGCAGAGGCTTTAGTGGCTGCATCCCAAGGCCCAGGCTAAAAGGGTACCCCTTAGCTTGGGGCCTTGGGTTGCAGCCCCTAAAACTCCTTTCACAATCTGGCCCAGGAGCCAAGGCTCAGAGACTCGCTGAGGGCTGGAGCATGAGAACTGGCTCATTCCCTTGTGACGTAGTGTTGGTACCTTGCTGGTTGCTGGGCTTGGGCTGTGGGTGACCCCCACTGGTTACTGTCTGTACCACGACCCAGCAGAGTAACTTATGGGACAGGGAGGTAACTTGTTCAACCAGTTACCTCCCAGGGAGAGGAACAAAGGAAGGTGGAATGCCGCCCCTGGCTGGGGGGCAGGGCTGGAAGGGACGGTCTTTTAGTTTCTGTGTGGATATAACCAGTTAACCAGTAAGCATTGCCCTTACCAGGCTGGAGCAGTCCTCCCTCTCCCCTCCCCACATCCACAGGATCCCAGTTAAGCAGTTAAACGTAATGTTTAACCAGTTAACTGGTAACCTGGATTTTACATCCCTCTACTTGCTTGTTGAAAATGGAGAAGATAACTTCTTTTCCCACCCTTTCTGGATTGGAGAACTTCCAGTTCCCTTTCTGCACTACTACTGGCTATCCAGTTATTCCCATTTTGCCTGTGCATGTTTGATTTTTTTCTTCCTAATTGAAGTACTTTGCACTTGTCTTTTGATTTTAGACTAATTCTCCACTTTATCAAAATATTGTTGAATTGGAATCCTGCTCTCTGCCCCAAAGTGCTTGTCACTCCTCCCTGCTTGGAGTCGCACAGAAATTTTATAAGCATTCTCTTCACTCCATCATATAAGTTGTTAATTAAAATATTGATTAGAAGAAAGGGTGAAACTGTCTGAAACAACTGAAATAGTTTAAATAAATATTTATATACAAAATAGCTCCCAAGAGATTGCTCCGATTACTGAATATCAGCTTTTTAGAGATTCCGCCTTACATAAAGTCTGATTTATGTAATAAAGTATCAATAAAGTGAGGACTTCTGAACTGGTTTCCCACCCCGAATTTGGAAGTCTGGAAATCTTACCTTATTACTGTTGGTGTGATTTCAGCACAGAAGAAAACACTAAGACTTCCAACAGCATGCGAAGAAAACATACCCACAATGGAAAACGCAGTAGAGAATTTGTCCTTGACGCTGTCACTCATACCTGTTAGACAGACAATGGCACATGGACATTAAGTTCCATGGTCCACAAGTAATAAAACAAGACCACCACATTAAGTCACTCATTTGCCTTAGATGCAATTTTGAGTCTCCGTCTCCAAAATGTATGTAAATCAATGTTTAATAAGCCGTGTACTAAACTACCCAAAATGAAAATAAAAATGTTGTAACATATTGCTACAAATTAGCAACAAACAGATAATCCCCAGGTTTGTTATCAACAGCCATCTCAAAGATGTAAAGAAATGTCTCCCAACAATCTTTCAGGCTCCGAATTCTTCCCACCCAAATCTAGCAGTCACATGGAGACAACCAGAATTAATCATGGCCTAGTTCAGTTCTGTGGTTGAGACACTACAGAAGTTGCAATAAAGGAAGATAACATGTTCTCATCTTCACCACAGAAAAAAATCCTTACGTTTCAACTGATCAGACCCCAAAGGGCATTGAACAGGAGCTGTAACAACAAGCAGCCAAGAAGAGTCCTAGCACGTGGAGCTGAACAGCAACCTTCCATGTGGACACTGGCAGTTATTGCAATTGAGCTCTGCATTCTCAGCGACTGTGGCCTTTCACATACACCCACTTAGAATGGGAGCAGTTCTCAAACCCTGTACAGACATTTGTGAACAGTACCTGAGTCTGGGAGTTGACTATATTTTCCAATCACTGGATCCAAGACCGCAAAAGATAAAGACAGAGAGAGAGAACAGTGCATTTAAATATATGATTTATTCCAAGTGAAAAAAACAAATACATAACCCCTCCCACTCCAAACCAAACCACAGCCTGCCATCTCCTCCTCATACCCTTTCTTTTCAGTGTCATGACTGGATTGGAATAGTCTTTCAAAACCTGCGAGGAGTCCTGTGGCACCTTATAGACTAACCGAAGTGTTGGAGCATAAGCTTTCGTGGGCAAAGACCCACTTTGTCAGATGCATGCATCTGACAAAGTGGGTCTTTGCCCACGAAAGCTTATGCTCCAACACTTCGGTTAGTCTATAAGGTGCCACAGGACTCCTCGCAGGTTTTGCAGATTCAGACTAACACAGCTACCTCTCTGATACTCTTTCAAAACCTGTTTGACATGGCATGTAATTTCCAGCTCTCTTGCCAACTGGAGGATGGAATTTTAATGAGATGATAATAAAGACACAGTGGTAAATCATTTGAAAAGACCCAGAATTAGTGGTGAAATTAAACAATAGTCTCTGTTGGTAACGAAGGAGGAAGAGAAACTGCAATCAAACTTTGCTGTAACCCTGAGGGAATGGCCACAGGGGCTTTAGTTAGAAAAGGAAACCATTCCAAGCAGCCTCCCTGCATTGCTTTCCTCGTTGCCAAAATCCAAAGTGAGTTTAGAGTGTTTAAAATTATTCACAAGCTGCTTTTTGGCCCACATTCCTATGCAACCCTAAGTAATACTACATAACGAGCAGAACAATAGTTATGTGAGCCTGGCAGAACACCACAGCTGCTGGGTTACTTGACAGAGCTTAGAGAGGTTTGGACTCAGTTTTGAAGAATTCTGTTTCTTTAAAAGCATGCTTTTTGTATTTCATTATGCAGCATTATTGTGACATGGTGGCAGCAAGCCTTCCCCCAACACACACAGACACTCACACCTGTGGCAGGAGCTGGAGTGACGTAGCAGCCTGCTATGCTCCACCTCACCACCCATCTCTCCACTGGGCTCCTCTTCACCATGGCAACAGGCTGCGGATTGCCCCAGCTGGGACACAACCTGCTGTGCTCCTCCAAGCCCTGCATTGCTCAGGAGAGCAGAACACAGCAGGCTGGGGATAGGCCGGAGAGCTTTGTTTCCTGCCACCACAGTGAATGGAGCAACCCAACTGGGAGAGGGCAGGAGTGGCACAGATTGCTGCATGCATTGCTCTGCCTCTTGGGCTCCCACAGCTGTAGTGACTGTGAGGGTGGTGGGTACCCTTTCTGACACCCCACACTAGGTCCCCTAGGTAATTGCCCAGGCTGCCTTGGGCCCTGAAGGCTCCCATTACTATGGGGGACTGCCCCAAACTGTCCTATGGACAGGAGGGCTCTGTGAAGTGATGAATCTTTGCTATGTATTTGTATCTCAAGCATATTGTATTCTGGGGATAAGACACAGAAGACGGATTTACATTAAGAGTAGTCAGTCATGGTTGATAGGCCAATTAAGCAGAATCAACTCTCCTGATGGGCCCTTCCGGAGGTCTAAGAAAATAAGTGGACAATGGATGTCTCATAACTTAGTAAGGGCACACAGAACATCTGATCCCTGACTCAGCGCCCATGTTTGTGCCTGTAACCATCCACGTATTTGAACTGGGGGCATAAATTGAGACTGTGATATCATGTCCTGGCCTCTTGCCTGCTCCATATCTCTGAACTATGATTTCTAACAAAGAGAAGCTTTGAATATGGACTGAAGACCTCCAACCACTTGGGTGATTCAGAAAGACTTACTGCAAGCTCACATCACAGCTATTATCCTGATTTACAAACTATCACATGCAATATATATGATTCACTTTAACCATTAAATTGCTTTTTCATTAATAAAATTTGAATTAGTTTACTAAAGCGTGTGTTTGGTAAGATCATGAAATATATATTGACCTCAGGTGGGTGTCTGGTTTTCTAGAACTGGAAGAAGTTAAATGAGTATTAAAACCAGAAATAACATAAGATTATCACAAGAGACTGGTTTGTCTGGGTGATGCATGAGAGGCGAGAGAGCCTGAGGGGACAATCTTTGGCTTCATAATAACTAGTACAGTTTTTTTGGAAGCACATTTTTGTTACTGGCTTAATGAAGTCTTACGATAGAATACACCACCAGTCTGGGGTATATAACCTGCATTCTAGCAGTCTGACCTGAGATTGGGGTTCTTAGCTGTGTCCCATACTAGGCAGTGTGAATTACTTAGATACATGCATGTGCTATCTGTATTTCTTAATTATACCGATATTTGTATGTTGCCAATGTGTGGCCACACATATGTACTAAGGGGGAGGGAAGAGATAGAGAACATACTTCCTGTGCGGGTGAGTGCTCCCAGTAACTTTATAGTAGTGAGGTATGTTCCCCCCCTTCTGTCAAGCTGTCTTTTGGGGGAAAAAGCCAGGTGTTCAGATACTTGCCTTTTTCAGCAATCTCATACAACCAGAAAGAGTATAGCCTCACAGACATGGTGTACACTGTTTTTGTGTCTGATAAAAACTGCCTCTTTTGCAAAAAGTAAGAGGATGGAATTTTGAGACTCTGCCTTCAATCAATTCAACTTCCTAAGAAGGGTCATTGCAAGTCAGAAAATCTGAGAAAAGGAACCGTGAATGGTTTCCTTATCTCTCTTGCCTATTTCCTCTGCAGCTTTCTTGGGGGGAAAAAATCTGCTAAAAATTATATAGCATTTCCATGCACTCTTGTAAGAGAACAGAATTTTTCCCCCTTTTTTAATACCCAGACAATTTTGACACATTACCAGAGATTGAAATCCACACTGTTTTTAATGTGATCAACATGGGTGATTAGCTCTGAGCTCTGGTACAGGAAAAATTCCCTGCACCTAGAAAAATGAACTGAAAAAATAAAGAGGAAATTGGAAAGGGAACAAAAAGGAATTTCACTGTAGTTGAATATGGACAGATAATGGGCCAATATCTACAGTGACTTACATTCCCTATTGCTTTCATTAGGATTGTTCAGTGTGTGAATCCTCACCATCCAGAGAGAGCTTATTTACTGCTCTTCTGTTCTGCAACAGACAGGCTTTTTCATACATCAGTTGACTGATTCAAGGCCTCATGCAGCTTTGAAATGAAATGCTCTCTGACCAGTATATAGATGAAAGTCACTCTTATGCCCCCACTTACAGTTGAGAAGGCCTAACTGTAGAAGCGATGCCAAAGCTGTCAGAATCATGAACAGCAGCAGTCCTCCTCTTCGCCCTAGAAACCCAACGACGGGGCACATAGCTAGGCAGGAAGCTAAAGCAATCCCTGCCATGGTGTAGTAGTCCGCATAGAAATTGTGGGTGATCGCCATCTTCACTTCATGACCCATCATGCTTTTTGCAAAGCAGTGGTGTATCCCAAACCCTGTCAGCCTGGGGAAAACAAAGTGACAATGGGAGACCACTGCTGAACAGGCAGGCAAACATTCAAATTCAACAAGGGAGTGGCAAGAAAAGGAAAACCAAGGTTTTTGCGCGAGGAGGACTTCTCTTACTAAGCATATACAACACCTGGCCCAATAGGAGGCCCAGAGTCCTTTGAGTCTGATTCTACTCTAGATTTTACTATAATACAAATAAACAACAAGCAGAACATTGATCACAATAAAAGACTCGTATTCAACTGACCTGATTCTAATAGGTGCTAAGCAACAGCCGCTCCGAAATCAAGCCATGTGAAATTACATTTTTATTGTGTGATTGGAAGCAACCTGAAATCAGTCATGAAAACCAATCAGAAGCTGCCTTCAGATTAATGAAATAGGCTTCTGTTATTCTCAGTCTAACATCTGACCCCCAGCCTTTAAAATGAGCGCTGCTGTGATCAGGTTTATGTAAAAGTGTGATATGGTTGGGCAGTAGGAAGCGTGTTATAAAAGAGATCGCACAACTGACAGCAACCTCACTGCTCAAGGTAGTGCTGCTGCCAAAGTAATTTTTAAAATGCATATTTAAAGTGACATACTGAAACTGGATTTAATTTGCTACTATGACTGTTTGATACATTTGTTAAAAAATTAATGCCGGGTGTGGTGAGATTCATATGGATAGGGCCAGAACTTAGTGCAATGTAAATTCACCTTGCACTGACAGAGCCCCTGGTGCATTTTAGTACCATCAACACCTCCTCAGGCAGCATAACTCCGCTCCAAGAAAAGGGCCTTCTGTGGCAAATTCCATAGCATGTAGGCAATGTGGACCTGCTGCATTCCATTAACTAAGGAGTTCACTAAATACTGCTGAATTCATTCCACATGCACGTCATTAGGATACATTTGGACCTACATCTCCCAAATGAATGGCTAGTATGTTATATCAATACACCATCTAGCCAATTATTTTCAGGAATTTGAAACAATTTTTTATGGAAATGGAATAATGAAAGGCTTTTTGTTTTTTATTTTTTAAACAAACAAATGTGGGGACTTAACAGCTCAGTGAATGACAGCCCTGTGCATAGCAGACCAGTCAACGAAAGCCACAATAGTATTGTGTACCTTTTGGAACTAGAGAATCGATATACTTTACATCACACAAGTACTACAGGATACAGTTTTTTCTTGCACAAAATTTCATTTGCTTTAGAAATCTAGACTAATCTGTAGATTATTTACTTCTGTAGACAGATTTTACTTTGTCTGAACTATTTTGCTTGCTACCTTACAAAACATTATTTAATATGTAACTAGACAACGCTAATATATAAACACAAATATATGCAGAGATGATCCATATAATAAACTGAAGATGCCTCAGATAAATGATTTGTTATGCAATTTATTACTTGCACTCTTCCCTTTAATACACATCCCAGAGATTTATTTTCACATCTGAAAATTCTCGATTCAGACAGTTGCCTTTTTTCAAATGAATCAATGTGCCCCAAAGAAGTTTCTTCTTTTTTCCTCAAAATGTCTTATCTTTCCTAAAATTCACACCTGCTTGAATCTTAGGACAGACTACATTATGTAGGAATAGAAACAGCTCTTCTGTCCCTATTGAAACTTAAAATCTGCATGACAAACAGGAGTTCGATTCACATGCTTAAAAAAAAAAAGCAAACTTCTCCACTGAAAACAGCCAAAAATCATCTCATGGTTTGTTTTTATTCTGGTCTTGGGAATTTCCAAACAAGTCTAATTTGGGGTAGGAAAGGGGGAATTCATACAGAGATAGTGTTCATAAGTCCACTTAAGTTACTGTAGTTATAAACTCAGTCTAGCAGCAAAATAATTGCTCCAAAATGTAGGACGACAATTCAGTGATTATTAAAAGCCCATCACCTCTTTCCTCAACTGACGTGGAAAATTAAGATGTTGATCCAGCAGCTGATTCAGCAGAGACAGATCATTAGAGTCAATGGGCCTCACCCAGGCAGGATCAGTTGATCTAATGCTACAATTCATAATCATATGGGTCACTGTAACTTCTCATGTGAGTGAAGATTACAGTTGGGCCCTAAAATCAAGTGGAAATTCCAACTAAGGACTGAGAACTTGTATTATACACACTTAATTTTCCTAGGGCAATTTCTGGTCTTGCTAGCACTGCTCCTTCCCAATTTCAAAACATCAAACTCACTGCCCCTTCACTTTCTCATTTCCTTCTCCTCCGTCAAAAGTAGTTAGGATCACTTTGAAATAGATTGCAAGTCCATACATATACTCTTATTGCACATTTAAACTTCAGCTGTGTGTGGAATAACTCAGTCAGGGCCTGATCCTGCAAACACTTAAGCACATGCTTAACTTCACCCAAGCAGATGTTGGCCAGACAGAGGCCTTATAATGTAGGTGTCACAATACTGTGTTTCAGAAAGTGCATGTTCTCTGTATACCCCTTTAATGATTTGGAGGGACTCCAGTCCTTTTTGTATAATTTTCAGGATATCACAGACAGTTACTATACAGGCAACAGCTTAGGATTTATTACCCAGCAACATCTTCCTCTGCCAACTTAATCCACTTAATTGTAGAAAATATTAAACAGAATGTAGATAAATTATGTAAACAGTGTTATAATTCTGCAGTTGATTACATTCAAATCTACCATATGTTCTTAGTTTCTCCTAAGCTTTATTTGAAATGAAGTGAAGACAAGATAGTAATATCCTTGGACTTATCACCTCATTTGCTCTCCTGTACCTCCCAGATATTTAAAGACGTGCAAATTAAACTGCTGGTCACTAATTTTCATGCAGGACAATGGGAATCTAGAGATTAACTTCTAAATTGAGGGAAACTTACAAGACCTCACAAAAAACTTCTGAATTATTTGCTTTAGATTGAAAAGGGACACCATCAAATGCACCAAAGTCATTAACCTGTTCAGACTGATCTGTGCCTTGTCATTGTCCATTGGAAACATAAGGTTGAATTTTCTAAAGCATCTATGAGTACACTGTGTTTTAAACCTGGAACAGTGAGTCTGAGGGCAGGTCTACTCAAGACCCAGAAGCTCAGTGTAAGGTATGCAACTCTAGCTACATAGAATACAGAGCTGGAGTCAGCTTACCTTAAATCGAGCTTGTTGCCATCTCCTTAGCGGGAGGCTGATGGGGACATTAAGAGTAGGAGTACTAGACACTCGCGAGGGTGCCCTCTGACTTAACTAGACTCACTAAATCAAACTCTGGAAGATCAATCACGGCAGCATTGATCTTCCGTGGAGTGAAGATAAGGCCTGAGAGCCCAGGTGAACAGACTAGAGTTTGTGCTACAGTGCTGAAAGCAGCACTGCAGATATCACAACCAAGGCTGGAACTCAGACACAAAAGCCCATCCACCTGCCTGGGTTTCAGATCCCGAGCTACAGCTGAGTCCAATTGTCTACACCGTTGTTTTTAGCGCTGTAGTGGGAGCCCCAATCTGTAGATTCAGGGCCTGTGACTCATTACCACTATTTAAAAACTTTATGTAGATGTACTCTAAGTGACTTTAGTAGCACAGATTCCATTGAAACTGGGAGGTAAGGACGGAATTCACATGAAAACTCAATGGAATTTGTGCTCGTCACACTGGAAAATCCAACAGTAGAAAGTTTGTGCAAGAGAGAGATCACTTGATCATTGACACACCAATGCCCTTATAGCAGAGGCAGACAAGATACGGCCAGCAGGGTGGATCCAGCCACCAAGTCTTTTAACTCGGCGTGTGGGCCCGCCCTTGCGGCACAGAGCAGCACCGCTCAAAGCAGCTGGCTGCTCCCTATGCTTCCGTCCCAGACCCAGCACCTCCTCCATAGACAAGTGCAGCCCTTGCCCACTTAACAAAACCTTGGAGTGGCCTTGCCCACTTAACAAAACCTTGGAGTGGTCACCTAAGATTATTGACCATCCCTGTTTACAGAGCTACAATTCGAGGGCCTCATGCTTTTTGCAGCTTAGAACATCAAATGACTACTTCCTTAAGCTTCTACAGGAGTTCACTCATGTAGCAGAACTCACTCAACTGATCTCTGATGAGACATCTAAGACACTGGATTAAGAGTCCTATACTGGGACAAAAGAGCCTCCACATTTCCATCACCATCCACATCTACTTTCAGTTTACCAATATTCAACATACTTGACAGGAATATATTGGACTTACGAGTTCACACACAATACTACAATGTTTTTCCACAGGTTCCTGGTTCCCACCACTTTAACAATGCAGACCTTCTTGGGCCTCCTGGTAAGCTCCTTCTCCAGCTCTGAAACAAAACAGAAGGTCATTCTCTTGGTAGTGGGGGAGCAGAGCAGTGCAGCGATGGGGTTTCAGATTTTGTTCTGGAAGAGGGACAGTAGGGTCCTCTGTCCCTTCTGCCTTAGAGCTCTGAAGATGCCATACCACCTTACACACATGCACATCTTGATTTGTTTCTCTCCTATTCTTCCATGTGTTGGTGGTCCTCTCTGCAGCCTTGGAGGGCTGCAAGTGGCTTCCTGCAGATTCCAATGCTACCCACAATTTAAAACATGTATGTAAAAAATTAATTGGGGAGTTAGGCATGGAACCAGATGGTTAGCCCTAGAGAGAGCTAGAGAGTGATGTCAAGTCAGGAGCGGCCCGAGGCCGGCTGCGACAGCTGGTGCCCCAGGCAGAAGGTGCGATCGGTGCCCCTGCCTGCACAGTAGTCAATGGCCGTGATGTAATCACGACGCACCCCGTGACATCATCATCGGGCACCCACGCCGGCGGCGCCCTAGGCAACTGCCTAGTTTGCCTAGCCTCACGTGCTGCCCCTGTGTCAAGTTGCCTGATATACACCAGAACCTCTGGTAGTGTTTTAGTCCTAATCAGCAACACACTCTGCTAGTGTTTCACCTCTCACAGACAGAGTCCTCGCATTTTTGACAAAACTGACAGCACTTCTGTAAGATGGATCTGTGCTAAGGAGTGGACTGGAAACTACCAACTTATTCAACGTGTGTTTCCAGGTTTCTAGAAATAAATGGCTAGCAGGTTGCAGCAATGAATCATCTGTCTTCCTCAACTTCAGTACTGCTGCAGCTGTGCTGGCCTAGAATGAGGGATGAGGTAACAGATTTTATTGGACCAACTTCAGCTGATAAAAGGGGCATGATTTCAAGCCCCTCAAGAACTGCTCTGAGGAGTACCAAGGCTTGTCCCTTTCACCAACAGAATTTGGCCCAATAAAAGATAATGTCTCCTCAGTTTCAGGTGTTCAGTCGTTTTGATGGGACACTAAAACAGAGGATTTTTTTTTTAAGAAAAATTATGGGGGCTCTTGATAGCTATTCTTTCTGATTTTAAAGCAGCACTCGATCCTGGAAGACATTGCTTGCTCTTGAGTTCAAGAAAAGAGCTGTGAACTTGACTGACACATTTTGCTATTGGAATCCTGCTGAGGCAGCTATGAGCTTACTTTTCTTTACCATTTTGTAGTGGAATATAGATAATCCTTAGGGAGAATAGACATTTGCCTAGTCTATGAATGATAAAAGGCAGAATGAAGGGTACTATATTACCCCGACACCTAATCCCCAGAGATTAGATCATACTTTCCAAGATACCGTATCCGTTACAAATGGTACCAAGGGTAAAAGGCCAGTTAAAACTTAACCAGCTGGGGCTAGAAAGAAACATTACAACAGTTCCACATTCCAGCAGTACAAACTGTACATGCCTTAACACTTCTAGATTAATAGATTCTAAAGCCAGGAGGGACCATTGTGATCATCCAGTTTTACTTCCTGCCTAACACAGGCCAGAGAACTTCCCCAAAATAATTCTTAGAGAGATCTTTTAGAAAAAAAAATCCAGAGATGAAGAATCTATCGCAATCCTTGGGAAATTGTTCCAATGGTTACTTACTTTCACTAATAAATGTTTGTACCTTATTTACAATCTGAATTTGTCTAGCTTCAGTATCTCACCAGCAGATCATACTCTGCCTTTGTCTGCTACCCTGAAGAGCCCATTACCAAATATTTGTTCCCCATGCTGGTACTTATAATGGAGACACTCCTTGACTTTTGCTTTATGGTAAACGAGCATGTGGACAAAGGGGATCCAGTGGATATACTTAGATGTCCAGAGGGACAAGGTCCCTCAGGAAAGACTCTTGTTGTCATGGGATAAGAGGGAAGGTCCTCTCACAGATTGATAACTGGTTAAAAGACAGGAAATAAAGAATAGGAATAAAAGGTCAGTTTTCAGATTGGAGAGAGGTAACTAGTGTTGTCCCCCAACGGTCTGTCCAGGAACCAATCCTATTTTACCTATGATCTGGAGAAAAGGGTAAACAGTGAGGTGGCAAAATTTGTAGAAGATACTAAACTACTCAAGATAGTTAAGACCAAAGCAGACTGTGAAGAGCTCCAAAAGGATCTCACCTGGCATTGGCCATTATCAGAAGACAAGATACTGGGCTGGATGGACCTTTGGTTTGACTCAGTATGGCCGTTCTTATATTCTTATAGATTGAGCTCCTTCAATCTCACTAGGCGGCTATGTTTTCTAATCTTTTAATCATTCCTGCGATTCTTTTCTGAACTCTCTCCGATTTATCAACATCCTTCTTGATTTGTGGACACGAGAACTAGAGTCTTTCACTAGCATTAAAAAAAAAATTACCCAGAAAAGTCTTGGAGTAGTCACAATATATACTGACTGTTTATGAGATCTCAACATGGCCTCCCGCAGTAGTCTGCATTAGCACACTTCATACATAAACAGTCTAGCTGTCTCTAATACCTCAATTTTTCCCAATCTTTAAATGGATATAAGATAAAAGAAATGAAAAACCGCGGAGAAGTAAAGAAAATTAAGGTAAGTGGGGGGCAGACAGCCAAAGAACACGTGTGTTTGTATTATCTGGAAGTTCTTATTTTTTGCATGGTAAATCCAGTAGAGAAATGTTATTTTGTAATCTAATTATTCATGCTCTTCACTGCCCGCAGACACACTAGACAGGAGTTCAAACTTTGGTTCTGAGACACGTTTTAAAAAAAAGGTCTGAGTATTCTGTCATGCTGCTCTCATAATTACATCTGAAATCTTTCAATTTATAATCCACAAACTGCAGCAGAACACACCAGATGACAGAATCACAAATACAGAGATCAGAACAAAGATATGTTGGTTATATAAAAGTAATTAAATTGTTTGCATTATGCTAGCAACTAGTTATCCCAGTCATAGATCAGGGCCCCATGTGCTAGGTTTTGTACAAACATATATGGCCCCTGCCAGTACACAACTGCTCCCTACAGAACTTTTTTAGTTCTTTGTCCAGTCTAGTTTTAAAACTTCTCGAGCAAAAGGCAATTCCACTTTTTTGGGAAACTATTTCAGCGTTTTAGTGATCAATATATAGCTTAAATTTTGCCCCTCAATGGGATATTAACTCAATCTTACCTCCTATACCATCCCAAATCATTCTTCTCCATTCCTGATTTTTATACTCTTTAGATATTTGTAGATCATTATCTCCCTTATTAAGCATCACTTCATCCATTCTATGGGCACTCAATCCTTTCAAAACTTCCTTATATATCAAGTCCTTTCAAACTCTTATAATCCTCCCACTTTGTTTCTCTCTTAATAAAGTTGGGGTGTTGTGAACCCAGCAGGAGGTGGGGGTGAATTCTAAAGAGGCAAAGTCCAGGAGAAGAACATCAGCCTGCCCTTATACTCACAAGGCTCTATCTGAGGTGTCTTGGCTAAGCATGGCAGTATGTCATGGCCTATTACAGAGACTCAGACTCAGCCCCATGAGCTGCAGGTGGCTCTTTAATGGGTCTACCATGGCTCCTGGACTGGATTTCCCCACTTAAAAACAACCTGCATTTAACATTTCTGCTTTATCGCTTCTTTAGGAAGCTGGGTATGAGGGAGAATAAGCTTTCTTTACTCATCAATTCACAGCCCCTTTTTATGTGCCTTCCTGTTCTCTACAGCATCCTTCATTGTAGCATTTCCATTCCGGCTCAGAGCAGAAAAATAATGAACAAGGAAGCTCTTTATAACTTTGGTGGAAATGACAACTATTCATTAGGAAATGTAACAGCCACACAGGAAGGAAAGCCGTCAGCCTCCGACTCCTCTGCACAAACTTTGAAGCTGTTGCATTTTCATGGGATTCTCTGCATCAATTCATGGCCGAGAGCGGTTAGAACCCAAGGGTTCCTGGCTCCCTACCCAGAGCTCATTTCATCAGCCCATAATGCCCCTCTATAGTAAGTTACATATTTTTAAAAGCGATGTTAAAGAACATTATAGTTCCGAAATCAAGAACATGCTAATGTTGGGAGGTTTTCGCTTGCAACCTCAATTCGGTCCCCTTGTGTGTAGGCATTACGATTCAGTCTTTAATTACATGATCACATGTTATTTTTCCCACAGGGCTCCTGCTTTATGCATTGAATGAGTTATTTAATATTTCTTTTTATCCTCCTTGTTCAATGTGTGGCCTTAGGACTAATTTCATGCACACCATCTAAACCTTGCACCGAATACAAAATTATTAGCTTCCTGATAGGCATTTCTGTGGTGCTCTCACCAGAGCATCTGAATTCTTCACAAAGATTAATGACAATATCTTTATGGCTAGCGATATTACCACCTTATGGATGGGAAACCAAAGCACAGTTTTAGGCTGAAGTTGTCAAAAATAGCCATTAATTTTTGGTGCCCCACTCGAAAAACGTAGGTCTTGATTTTTCAGAGTACTTGGCATTATACAGCACATTACAGGTTCAAATTATAGCTCCTGTTAACTTAAGCTGATCGTGCTCAACTTATCTCTAAATCAGACCCCAGAGTATCAAGCCAGGCACCCAGAAAACGAGGAACATAAAATTATTGGCCACCTGGGAAAAGTTTGGGTTACGTGACTTGCTTAACATCACAGAAGAACTGTAGCAAAGTAGAATCCAATGCTCTAAATTGGATGAGTAGAATTCCCAATATTTAGGGAGGTGCCTATTACCTCCCTATCCTGTCCGGATTTTTAATACATGCTATCTGTTCACACTAGCTACAGGGCAGCATTCAGCTGCCTTAACCATGACAACAAGTTTCAGAGGGGCAGCTTTGTTAGTCTGTTTCAGCAAAAAGAACAAAGAGTTCTGTGGCACCTTAAAGACTAAGAAATGTATTAGGGCATAAGCTTTCGTGGGCTGCACCTCATTTAATCAGATGCATAAAGTGGAAGTTTCAGTTTGGCAGGGATTTATACCTATGTAC